CTACATAATGTTTTCGGAAAAAAGCTCAAATCAGTTAATTTGTTGGCAACTTTGGTGTTTCATGCAGTAGGATACACCTCCTATGAAGAGTGCTTTTTACCTCTCTTATTTAGATATTACGGTATAATGGCCGAGTGGAAATTTTTTAATGAGTTTTGATTATCTTTACTACGGTTGTTTTTTTTTTAATAAATTGTCATTTAAAAAATATTTTTCTAAGCATGTTACTTACCTTTAAATTTGTTCGGATACGTCTATATAAGAAGTCACATTTTTTTATACACCGAGAAAAAACTTGATAGTGGGAATTAAAAATTTATTAGGTTTACTAGGTTATTAAATATTTTAATACTATACGAGACAGCTAAACTGATTAATAGCACATAATAAATATTTGTTCTTGGATCAGTGTTGCTATCACAAGCAAACAAACAAAAAACTTAGTAAATTAATTTGGTAACAGGTATTATACAGTTTATAGGAGGAACTCAACATCTCAGGCGTGACCGATCTAATCGCAAGCATTATTCGTCTTCTTAAGTCAGCTAGGTCGAGAGGTTTAGTTTTGTATATACTTTTGATGTATCCCCATAAGAAAAAGTCTAATGATGTCAGATCAGGGGATCGTGCTGGCCATTCTATCGATCCTTGTCTCCCTATCCACCTAATCCGATTGAGGAACTGCCGGACATTGATTTGGTAATGCTCCATCTTGTTAAAACCATATCATATTCGCTGGAAATTGTGAGTTTACTGGATCAGGGTATAAGTTCGTTAATGTTGGCACGACATTATTTTGGAGCAGTGCTAAGTAATTATCGCCTTTCAAATTGTCATCAATGAAAAAGGGACCTACGACATGATCGCCAACCATTCCTGCCCAATCATTAAAACATTAACCTTTTCAGGGTATTGCGAATCTTCTTCTCCCATCCAGTGAGGATTTTCCCTATACCAATAGCGGCAATTTTGACGATTAGCATGACCGTGAAGAGTAAAGTTACACTAATCGGAAAACAAAACATGTTCTAATTGGATCACCATATTATCTAACATTGCCATCATTTGTTCAAAAAATTGCGTCCTCCTATCAAAATCGTCTTCCGTGATCTCCTGAGTTGCTATTATTTTATATGGATGCATTTTAATGTTCGAATAATCGATGAATGGCTAATATATCGAACATTGGGGCTGCTTGTCGACTAGAAGTATGTGGGTTTTCCTGAAACTCAATCATAATATTCAATTTGGTATCATTAGTTATTGCATTGGCAGCTGTTTTTTTATCTGCCTTACTTGTCCATGTTCGCGAAACTGCTTATCTGTTCTAATAATTGTCCCTTGAGATATACGCAGCAAATTTGGAAATTTTTCATAAAATAAGCGAGCAACTTCCTTTGTGTCCGTGTGTTATCTTCATAACCAATCATCTTTTTTTTGTGAAAAAACACGCCATAAGCGGCGTTTATTAATAATACAATCTGATCAATTTTGTTATAACCTAACTTAACTAGGGTTGCAATTTTAAAAACTAGAGTTCTACTCGCTAGTATACCTTAACGCTGATAACTTAATTACACTAAACTATCGCGTAACACTAAAGCGCACAATGCTTTGCTTTATTATTAAAACTTGGGTAACTTAAAATGTTTCACTCTCTTGAGTCTTCTTGTCAGGAGGTTCATGTTGTCAAGAAGCTGGATCGCTTCAACGTTCACATGTTGGTGGAGCCGTTGTCCGTGACTCCTAGCAAATCTGGTGATAGTCTGGTCAACAGTGTCCGTCTGAAGGTCTCGATGAAGGTCGCTGTTTCTAATGTATCAAGGAGTATCGACAATGTTTCTCAATACTTTGTTCTGGAATCTCTGAATTCTTAGAATATTACTGTAGCAACCCCAGAACTGAATGCCATAGGTCCAAATTGGTTTGAGAACTTGTTTATATAATAAAATTTTGTTATATGTAGATAGGCTGGAATGCCTACCAAGTAAATAGAACATTTTCTTGAATTTTATATCTATTTTCTTTTTAGCATGGACCTTCCAGTGAAGTTTTGCATCTAAAGTAATACCTAGATATTTTGTCGAGTTAGCATAAGGGACCTGAGCATTATTTATGTTAATTGGTATTCTTTGACCGTTTTTGTTAGTAAAAATTATATTAACAGATTTGGTTTCGTTTAGTTTAATACGCCATCTTTTGGTCCAATTAATTATATGATTAACTGATGTTTGTAGTTTATTTGCAGCCTCTTTATGATATTTGCCTATCGTTAGGATGGCAGTATCATCTGAAAATGTAGCTAGGTTTGAATTTTTGAGCTCATTACTCATATCCTTTCAACATACTAAAAGTCTAGAAAAATGTGAGTGTGCGAAATGCGTTTTTTTTTTTAATTTTATGCTGAAAAAGAACAGATTATGAATTAAAAAGAATAAAAATAAATAACAAAAGAGTATGGAAAAAACTAAGTCTATACGGTATGTAAAAATATGTAAATTCCTTTTTTTTTAGGTAACTTTTCCAAATTGTGACAAATCCTAAGAAACTTAACATGGCAGATATAAAATGTATCTTGTGCTCTGAAAAAGTAGGCGAAACTTCAAAGTTCATTAAGTTATCTGCCAGAGGTATACAAAGAATTATAAGTGCAAGTAAAATTCGAAAAGACCATATCCATGAGTTATTTGAACCATTTCCTGATAACCCCGTGAGAGTCCATGTTGAATGCTGCCGTGTATATACAAATCCTAATAATATCCAGAATAATCTCACTGCCGTCTCCCGTGTTAGCAGTGAACAACATATTGAAATGTCCGTTGCTAGGACATCTAGAGATATGAAAGACTTCTTTACATCCCAGCTAGCACCGGACGTCGTTTCACGTCATAATCACGTTGAATTTTGGTCAAATACGTCGATGTGATTTTTTGACGCAAAAATAACGTAATAATGACGTCATTTTTGGACCAATTTGACACGTAAATATAGTTGTTGCGAACAAAATAAATCTTTATGTCATTAATGCACTTCGAGTTTTTGTTATTCATTATTAAATAAATAGAAGGTAATTTATACAACATCGTTTATTTAGCGGTCATTGTGACACCAAAATAAGACGTAGTATGACGTTATTTAGAGACTAGTTTGTCACGTTCTGAAATGAGGCGTTGAACTGCGCACGTGTACACGTCGATTCTACACCTTTATTGTTTTACATTCAATTTATTAATAAAAGGATCTTTAGTGTTTATAATAAATTTATGATTCTCATTTTAAATCTAGGGATTTTTGGGAATTTTCATTTTTAAATGAAATTTTATGTCAACACTGTTTCGAAATGTCAGCTGTCATGTCATTGTCCAGGGTTAGCGGTTCACCGGGTTCACGCCATTTTGTGTTACTTTTGTAACTTGTGTTTGCAACATTCTTTTATTGTATGATTTTGTATGTCTTTTGAAGGTAAGTAGTTAGGAAGTTTAGTGCGATATTATTGTTTATTTTTAGTATGTTTATAGGAATTCAATACGCCGACAAGCACTGCACCGGAGTATCATTAAACCACTTCAAGTTCCAAGTGGCCGACATCCTAGGAAATGAGGTTCTTATAAACAACAAGAACCTTTTAACAAGAGCTTAAAAAAGGAGAAAATTGGACTCTTTCCTATTTATAGAACATATTTTACCGAAGGTGAGTGATTTTTTATATTGTAAAGGTGCCTGTAGCTAGCCTAATTTTGTTTTAACTATTAACGTAGACATTAATATAAACAAAAATTTAAGGATTTTAAAACAAAACCGTTCATAAAGATAATTTAAACATACATATTCATGACAGATCTGATTTTATTTATCTTGTTTAGCATATAATAATAAGTTGTGAACCATCAAATATATCACTTTTGTGACAGATTAATGATATAAAACAATTTCTGTCTTTCTCTGTGATTGCTAACTCTATTTTTTGGCTCAAATTTTATTTAAATAATGTAAGTTTCTGGTAGTTATAACTATTATATTTTTGTTTTAGTGAAACGAAAATTTAATAAGGATACCATTGAAGCTGCTTCAAGCCTGATGTATATTCGGAATGATTTGTTGAATACCTGGACACTGCTATATAATCTTTTGTAATTTATACATTCTAAGTACATATTCTAAGAAGTAATGTTTATTTAGTAATAGTTCAGGTTAGTATACTATGTTTCAATTCAGAAATTTTATGCAGTAACCTATCTTTTTTATATAAAACATATTTTTATTAAACATTTTTTAAATAAAACGTTTTTTATAAACATTTTTTTTACAAATTAAACATTTTTAAATGAATATTATGGTGTTTTTTTGACGTCTAAACACGTTATCTGGTGACGTGTTTATCACGTCGCTGTATGACGTCTTTGATCTGTGACATATTGCCGTCATAATCACGTCACTAGCACGTCATAAATTGGTGATTTCGACGTAAAATGTGACGTGTATTTCACGTGAAAATCACGTGTCTGTGCTAGCTGGGATTACTTCAATTTCTGCAAGATCACAATCTATTTGATTCAGAATGCGTTCAGCTACGTAATATTTTCAATGGGATATATTTCCTCCATCGCTATTTGATCCAGACACTCAGTTATTCAGAAAATGCGACAAATCATCATTGGCAAGAACTTTGGATGACTTACAACCTAGTTTAAATTACATGTTACCTGCAGACACATATGTTATGTTCTTGACAGTGGCGCACTACTACACAAATTGCCATGTGCAAGAACTGAGAAGTTTTCAGATGTGTTAGAACTATATAGTAGTCATATAGCTAACCAATATAAAGTTGTGACAGTTGAATTTGATGGCTATACCACCTCCAGTATTAAGGCTGTTGAGCATCAGATACGCACAAAAAAAAAACGTCGGTAACAGTTAAATTTACCGAGAGCTCTTCACTTCTTATCGGCAAAGCACCTTTTCTTGTTAATAATGAAAATAAACAGTGCTTTATTACCATGCTAGGAAAACACTTAGAAGCCAATGGCCACACTGTGATTCATGCTACAGATGATGCTGACACACTGATTGTAAGAACAGCATTGACCTTGGCAGAAGAAAAGCACGTAACAGTTGTTGCTGATGACACCGATATTCTGGTACTTTTAATTTACCATAACATACGAAATATTTGCTTGCAATCATCTACGTACAGTGATAGAAAACGTGATATTAAATCGATGCAACATATACTTGGTGAAAAGGAGTGCAAAATCATTCTCTTTTCCCATGCTTTAACCGGATGCGATATCACAAGCTCCTTATTTGGGAAAAGTAAATCGGCAGCATATCGACATTTTTGGAAATGTGAACAATTTAGCATTTGCGCTACTTTATTTGGATCAGAAAATGAAAACAGAAAGGAACTTACAGACATTGGCACCAAAGAATAATTGGTATCGTTGTACGGTGGAAATCCAAACACAAAGGCCTTAAATCTACTACGATATAATCTCTACTTGAAAGAAATGACAACTGCCAAAAGTGAATTCAATATTGCAAGATTGCCACCAACTGAAGATGCTGCTGTTCAGCACCTTCTTCGCGTACATTTACAATGCCTTTATTGGAAAACTATGAACACCAATATTGCCAAACCAGAAGAGTGGGGTTGGAAAAAAAGAGGAGACTAACTACAGCCCATAATATGCGAAATGAGCCCTGCACCAAAATTATTACTAAACACAATCCGCTGCACCTGCAAAACGGATACAAATGAGCGTGTGGTAGTGGTAGATGTACTTGTCGACGGTATGGTGTGGAATGTACTGAGATATGCTGCAACTGTTCTGGTCGCGATTGTACAAATAGTGCCTCGAAAAAACGTGTTGAAAATAATGAAGAAGACTGTTAGACTTAATTTTTACAATTTTTATACAGCCTTTTGATTATTAAAAATAAAATTTTCTAGATAAGCTTCCTATTTTTCGCCCACCACTTTGTTATTATTTTTTATCTTTTTTGCTCATAATCTTCTTCAGCATAAAATTTCCCATTATTTGATACCACACACGATTTTTCATGAATTAAAAAAAATGGCGGCCAAAAAACGCATTTCGCACACTCACATTTTTCTAGACTCTTAATATGTTGAAAGGATATGAGTAATGAGCTCAAAAAATCAAACCCCCTCTTTGTGGAAATTAATTCCACCTTTGGCCAATTTTTTGTGTAAATCTACTATACTATTAGTGCCAAATTTATAAATCAATAAATTTGTATTTTTGGCAAATCAAAACTTCAAAATTTTTAGTACCAATTTTTTTTGGTCACATTTCATTTTACTACTAAGCGTGTGAAGGGTTTTAATATTTGTTATAAAGGGACGGCATAACGGTAAGCATACTATTACTAATTTACACAATAATAGTTATTATTGGCAAATGGATCTAATTACCAAACCCAAAACCTCAAAGAAAATGTGTGGAAATGTTATCAAAAACGGATTTTAATGCATATATTTTTATTTCCACAAAATTTATTAAAAAACTGGATTAATTAGATAAATAATAAAATATTGATAAACTAGAATGACAGTATAGATATACGTAAACAACTCTACATTGATATTTCACTGATCCCAATACCAATATTAAACTAAAACCACTACATGTTCGCTTTCACGTTTTGTTTACTTGGATTCCTCTAAATTCGTACATTATTAACTAGCGGGATCAGCAAAATACTCGATTAATAATATGGAATTTAATCTCATGAGAAAAACAAATAACGTCTGTTCTAATGGCAAACACTAATAAATATATCCAATATTACTAGACACTCAATTTTGATTGGATATTTGCTATCGCATGAAATTTTTATTAACAGGACTCTGCCATTATGCGGCTTTATGATTTAATTATCGCTTTTATAGATTTTATCGGTTTAGAATTATGTCGGAATTATTGTTGCACCACTAGTTTATTGCGCGCAGATAAGATTTATGAGATCAATAATCTGAGATTCGTTATTTAGGAAATGCTTTACTCAAATAGCAAACAAAACATAATGTTGTTTTTGTGGTTTATATTATTTAGACTTGATTTTTTTTTTAAATTACTTAAATTACTTGCTCTATAAGTTTTAATACTTACCTTTTATTGAATAATAAAAGGTTTTTAATTTCTTTATTATATAATTTTGCAAACTATTTAATTTTATTTCCTTATCTCAATAAAATAACCATCAAGTCTTACCCCCTTTTTCTGCGCTAGGAAAATTTTGTAAAATTTCCATTTGAATCTATATAGATTGTTCCAAAATAATATTTGTGGTAAAGAATATAATATTTTTCTGATTAGTTTATGATTTTGTCAATGCAATTTTCAATATTTGATGATTAGAAAAAGTTCAGTGCCGTATTCAGGACCATAAAGGCAATAATCTTGGAGTATATATTTTTAATAGAGTCCGCATTCAACAGCGTTTATTTGGGTTGAAAGGAGGAAATGCTTAGACACTAAAACCAAAGTCGCATCATTTTTACGGGGTTTACAATTAATATAAATAATAAATTTGATACATAGCTTTAAAATTCTTTAAATTAGGCACATATTTTATAAACTTGCATTATTTAAGTAGGTATCTAGTAATAGTAAATTATTATTATTAATAATATTGTGTTGGACATATCAGATTTTTGAAATAATAGGCAACAAAAAAGACAAAAAGCTTGAAAATCAAAAATATTAATAAATAGTAGGTATATTATACAAATATTTATGATATCTACTAACACACGTAAACGAGAATTATAATAAAAGAATTTTTTCCAATAATTTATTAAATATAAAAATATTGTTCGTAAATAATGTTCAATAGATTACTAAACGATATACTACAAATTGAAATCAAGCTATTACTTAGGTACATTTGCACTGCCAGTCGTTAACAAATAAGTGAAGCCTTCATTTTTATTGGAAAACGTTTAAACTTCGATTATTTCTTAATGATTAGGAGTGCAAATAAAAGAAGCTTAAAATGACTTTTTTATTAAAAACTCACATTAGGTTTTGCTTATTTCTTAACAATTAGCAGTCTACTTAATTAAAGAACATAGGTACATTTAATAAAAAATAATTATTGTCAATTTTTGTGGTTTATAAAAAATTACTTAGTTACTTACATGTTTTCTAATTCTGCATTTTCTTTTTCTGCAACAGAGGCTTCACAGTTCAGATCATCACTAAACAATTAAAAATTTTGAACGAATAACCCACAAGAAAAGTGCAGGGTTTTTTATCTTTTAGATTCATCTTCTTCTGGAGCCTCAGTAAATCCTGATGGCAATGCACTTGAAATTAATCTAGTTCTTCCTCAGCATCCAGTCTTTGACATAAACGTATATCCAGAAAAATGATTGGAACATAAAACATCTCTATTTGAAATGTTTTCTGGAGTAATTTTCAATATGTTTCACCAAATGCGTTTTTCGGCAGGATTAGCTGGAAACCTACAAAAAACAAAAATTATTGATTTAACATTTTCAATATTATCATAATAAAATGCCTTAAAAACGAAAAGCTTGTTTATATTGAAAAATTATGATTAATTTTTTTTAACTTTTCAGTAGGGTCCAAAATCTAGAACAATATTCCTCATACATAATACGAGTTCTTTAAATTTATTTCACTAAATTTACCATTTATTTTAAATTCATGTTTAACGGCCTTTTGCATGAAATGGTTACTTACTTGTGGAATGACCTTGACGATGCCTTTTCATATTTCTGTTACACAAACTCTCACCATTGTTAAAATTTGTATCATTAAAGTAATAAATTACAAAAAATCACTTATAAACTACAAAAATATGCTATAAATTAATGAAAATTAACAATCAAATGACAGTTCTGACAATTTCCAACTATTTGACATGACATGCAAAACGAAACAGACCAATGGGAATGCTGGACACTATTTTCCCCCTGTACCAAAACAAAGTCCATTAGACGATGGCTCTAGTAATATATTCTTGAAGGCATTGCGATAAACAATTGAAGTTCAAAAAATCTATCCAAGTATAAAAATACCAAGTCCTATTTTTTATAGGATAATTGATGTATCCCGATAAGCAGAAAATTCTGATATCGGGGGAATTCTGATGCGCACGACCAATTGGACTTGCAGACAAGTTCAACTGATGCACCCTCCTTAAGTGGTTCGTTGTCTTCAAAAGATAAATAAGAAAAAGAGTAAAACTTGCCCTTCGAATTGATTTTTCGGATTATGATGCGGACGATTCAATTGCCGATAAAACCTATATGCCTGATTCTCCAATCCCCTTACAAAATAAGATAGTATCTTCTGATAGTGATGAAGAACTGAATGAAGTAGATGAACAAGTTACTGAGTTTCCCAAATCCATTTCTATTTTTCGGAAGTGGTGGGTCCCAGGGTACAGGTCGATTCTCAAAAACAATTTTTTTTAGAATATTTTGTTCACCAATCGTACCTCTACGTAGAACAAGAAAATATAAACTTACAACTTACCGTAGAATAATTGAAGGCTTTTTTAGGAGTACTTATTGTAATTTGACTCAACATGCTGCCTTCATTAAGACTATATTGGTCATGTTATCGTAATTTACACAATAAAAGGATAACAAGTTTTTCCCATCAAAAGATGTTTAAAACTACTTCGTTGCTTACATCTAAACAATAACCAGACGATGCCTGCCCGGGGGAATGCCACTATGACCATAGCTCACATACCTATCTGAAGTTTATTCTAATTCTTTTACACCTAATGGAAGCGTAACCATTGATGAGAGTATGGTTGGTTTTAAGGACCGTACACTGCCTAAAACAAAACATGTTGATAAAGCCCATAAAAAGGGATATCAAGGTATGGGCTATGACATGTTCTGAGAGGGTCTACTTGCATGCAATCGATAAATGCCGAGGTAAAGAGCAGGATGCTAAGTATGGCACACTGGGAGAACGAGTAGTTTTGAAATTGGTTGCTAATTTGCAAAACAGAGGCTTCTGTGCTAATTTTGATAATTTATTCACCACCATTCCACTTATGAATAAATTAGCAGACAAACCACTATTTGGATGTGGAATTATTGGCCAAACTAGGAAGCATTTTCCAAAAGAAAAATTGCTTGATGATAAAAAAATTGCAAAGAGACAGTCAGAATTTACAGGTTCTGAAGAAATATATGTTATCAAGTGGAAGGACAGAGGAACTAAGTCTGTAACAGTGGCCAGTAATATGCATAATGCCGTAGAAACTAAACAAGTCCTTTGTACAAATAAATTTGGCGAAAGAGATGCTGTAGTGTAGTAATGTCCAAAGTCTATCGTTGATTACAATATATTCATGTGAGGCGTCGATCGCTTTGATCAAACTGATCAAAGACATGCAACATACAATATAAGTTGGAAAA